GCACTCGGGCCGGGGCTGCCCATGCGCGGCCCTGCCCAGCGCCGCCGGCCGGGCCATGGCTGGAGAGGCAAAGTGTAAACAAAAGCTCAGCGCACTGCGCTCTCACCGGAGCTGCTTTGCTGCCAAGGGTTTCAAATCTCCCCGCAGACAGTACGCTGCAAGAACTCCAGAAGAACTTAATTTAAAATATACGCTGACTTGGAGAATGACTTAAATATTTGTTGTCTTTTTTCTACTTTGCTTACTCATTTGTTTTTTCCTTTCAACCTGTCATTTTTTTCCCCTCCCCCGATACAGCCTCTTTCTTTGCTTCAGTTCCTCCCTTCTTTCCAGTTGCTTTAGTGTTCATTATCCTTAAAGCAATCAATAGAAATTTCAACGAGATAGTTCAAAAATACCTCAAGTGCTTTCTTTAGATTTAAGCCCTATCTGCTTGCACAATTTTGAAAAAAAAAAAAAAAAGAATTTTTAATTAAATATTAAATACTTGGAACTAATCTAACTGAATGGCCTCAATGTTCACTCATGGATAATCAGTGTGCCTAATTCCTAGTGCACATTTCTAATTTTTTTCACTACAGCATGGGATTTCCAATGTTCTCTTATGTAAATATTTACCAGGACACTATGTTTACCAGACTGTGGTTGTTTTAAGGTGTTTTAATTTATGTTGGTAAGTGGAAGGTCAGCTGATACTCTGACATGCTAATTGCCCTTTTGTTTATTTTTTTTAAATTCTTCCAACATTTCAATTTATTTCTAATGTGTACCATCAAAGCTAATAATTCCCTTTTTGGGGCTGAATCTTCCAATCACATTACTTAATAAAGCAGCTCTAAAACTCAACTCTGGTTTTAAGTTCTTAAAAATTTTCTGTCTAATGTTCAAAATCCATCTAACAGAACATAAAACTAAAGTGAGATCCAGAATTTGCTTAAAAAGCATGATTATACTGACTGATACACACATTAAGTTTCTTGCCCTTCACTCCCTCACCTATGGCTTTAAAATAGGTCAGGAATAATTTTAATTGTAGTAGCAAACTTTTGCTGGTAGTCAGGCTTCTATTATAGAAGCTGACTTGCTGTCACATCTTTTTGTGTACTGAAAACCCCTTTTACTTTCAGAAAAACTCCATGTCTTTGCTTCTATTCTACACAAATACAACTATTTGATTATCTTTATCAGACCTTCATACATACTATCTGAAAAGTTTCCCTACTGCAGCTTAACATTTGAAGCATTTTGTTGTCTGTTGCTGTATCTTTCTTACCCAGATTAATGGCATCATAAATTTAGGAACCTACAGATCAGATCCTTGATAAACTGTGTATTAGTCTACCTTAAATTCAGCCATTTCCCACACTACCAATATATAAACCCTTGAACATCTAAGGAAATTATAATGCCCCTGAATGACTAAGGGAACACAGCCATGTCCCCACTCATGAGCTGAGGGGTTTGGGCACTCGGCCTGTGATCATCCAGGCCAAAGACATGTGGGCCCCAGCACTGTAATGGTATCCACATTCCAGAGGGTGGCAGCTCAATGTTTGCCTGTCTTAGGGTTTTGTGTTTGTTTTCATCAGGCATTTCCTGTCCCAGGAATATTTAGGCCAAGTTAAATGTGAACCAGTATCTATTCCTTCATTTTGTCAGCTCAACTGTTAAAAACCATCCACTGCCCAGTGCCTACTGTTAGGTACTGCAAAGAAACCTGTGACCTTACCTTGTTCTTTTACAAAGGTCAGCACTTCCTACTATCTTAGATAGAACATTTCAGCAAAATTACACCTTCCTTGAAGTAACAACACTTGCTTAGGATCCCTTTTTTTTTTTTAAATAATAGTAAAAAAATTAAGACTCCACCAATGGAGTATATGCAGCAATGACAGATAAAACAGGAGCATGATTAGGACACAAGGTATGCAGGATCAGTGTGAGGTTCCCCACCAATTCCCCCAACACACAGCAGTTGTAAAGCACATACCTCTGTCTGTCATCTTCAGGTGACTTACTCTGTACTGAAATTGACTGAGATAGTATCTTCTGTTGGCCTTTCTTCATTAAAAAAAAAAAAGAAAAAAACATAGTTGATTTTGGGAGAATATAATCCATTAAAGATTAATTACCTATTTGTAAATCAGAAATCACAGTAACTACAGTCTACTATGGAAAAGAATGGAAACTATAGTCTGCTGTGGAACAGAACTTCTAAACACAAGGAAAGATGTCTAAAAATGAAAATGCCGTTGCTGTTTTGTTGTTAAATGTATATCTATGCAATCTGGCAGTGCCATGTGGTATATTAAGTACCCTAAGAATATTTCATCTTCTGCTATATTTAGAAAAGAAAAAAACAGTGGTTTTGTTGTTGCTGTTTTCTAAAGGAAAGAGACTAGATGCTATTTTGGCCGTTTCATCTGCTCCTGTTCAAATGCCAAGCATTTAGCCTCAGCTTGTCACTGCTCAAGAGAAGAATATGTTTTCACAGCCCATAAAATTGAAGTTTCAACAGAAGGAAAAGTGCATACAAGTACAGCTTTCCAGAATACTTAGTAATTTGCTTTCTAAGCCTTGTTTATTTGAATGAGTGTACTTACAACAAATATATCTAATATGTAGAACACCTTCTCCAGTCTGTTTTGGGTATAAACCACACCTGCCCCATTCATTTGTCCAACTTTCATAAAAAGTCTTGACTCTATCTGGTACACAGCCACACCAATGTTAAATGATAATACTGATAATAAACAGAAACGTTTTCTGTTTTGAGAGTTTCCTTCTTACTAAGTTCATGTTTTCTATTTATGTTGATTATTCTTTGTATCTTTTTCAGCTTGAATAATGTAGATCCTATTTCACTATGAGGTTACTATAACAGTATCTGGTTTTCAAATACTGATTTTTAGTATTTACAGCATAAAACCACCTACAGATACTTTTCTTAAAAAACTAAACAAGTTTTTAATGTGGTTTTGTGTATGTATCTGTAGAAATGCTGTACGCAGGTATGTGAATACCTGCCTGATGAAATTACATAGGAACTCTTTTTGAATACAAGTGTTTTTAATACAAGTTTACAACTTTGAAAAAAAAAATAAAGCTTACCTTGCATCTAAAAGCAACATGCTTTTAGTAGTCAGGGTCTAAATTTCTTTTGAAGCTCTGTGTGCATGTGAATCCAGACTAAAGTACGTAACACTCACCATTAGTTCTTCAGCCTGACGCACCAGTTTTTCTGTTTTGGCTTCTAATTCTGCATTCAGTCGCCTGAAAGAGTAAGCATTTCTTTGTCAATGAGTTTTTGAAAGACTTAAAAGGAATAAGTGTGAGTGTGACAGTATTTTTGCCTGAACTAAGAGAAATTTTAATGATTCCTACAAAGGAATGCTGAAATACACTTCAAGGTATTAAAAAAGTTAAGTTTCAACAATTTCCTGTGTTGCAGCCAAATCAATAGTAATAAAACATGTATACCCATTAAACAGCAACAGTGAGAGATGCAGGATGCCTTTGGTTTTGGACATGCCGTTTTATGTCTTTATTACCTAAAGGTTTTCCTTGTTTAACACAGTCCTTCCTTTCAGTATACCCAGCAGCAAGGGTTGGGGAAGGACTATGCACAACTATATTGCTTATGATGTATTTAAAGATGTGTTGCTATACGGCTGTACAGGTTAGGGTAGTGAGGTGTTACTGCATGTTCACATACAGTCCCTGGTGCTGTGGCTGACGTGGCTCTCTGTGCACCCTCACCATCCACAGGGGCTGGGCACTAACACAGGGCGTCCATTTAAAACCTTTACAGCTTTCAAACTGTTTTTAACAGGCTTAAACTTTTATACAGTCATAATTTAGTTCTAAGGTCAATGTTCGACGTGCAGAAGAACCTCATGTCCGGGCCTAGAGCCTGCCTGAGGGGGTGGTGTCCAGCGGCGCTGGGCGCTGACCCGCTGCCCCGGCTAGTGCCATCCACCCTCTGCGGGGCCGGAGCCACGGCACCCGGGTACAGGGGACCTGCTGTGCCCCGGTCCCAGCGGGGCAGGGCCTCCTTACTTGTACTGTTCTTCCTTGGCCAGCCATGCTCCGCTCAGCGCGCCGGGCCCCGCGAGCGCCTGCGGGCTGCCGGCCGCTCTCCGCACCTGCGGGGAGGATGCCATAGTGAGCGGGCGGGCCCGCTGGGCCCCGCTGCCCCGACTCCGAGCCCAG